ACATATTCCAATAGAGAGAGCTGCAGCCGGGGAGCAACGGGTGGAGGACAAAGGTGGAATGGAAATAACGAGAGAAGAGACGACGGTTTGGAGGAGTGCATTTCTGCGTGAGAATTGAGGAGACGATGACGATGATATTGTCACACTTGTTGAAATTATAGACTCCGAGGTTTTGGAAAGAGGAGTAACATTATTATTATCAGCAGCAACAACAACCACGGAGGAGGAGGAGGAGGAGGAGGAAGGAGTGGGGAGGAGGAAGACGGGAAAACTCCTGAATTTCAAATTCTGGTGTTCGGTGTTGGCCTCGGACAAGGGCGGAGCGGCGCCGCATCCTTGGATAAGGAGTCCCCGCGACATTCTCCTTTTTTGCCCTTCCAATTACCTTTCTGCATTATCTCTCTCTCTCTCTCTCTCTAAAGATAAGAGAAAAGTTTGTATAAGTTTCACTTATGGCCACGCTGGCAACATAAAGAAATAAATGTTAAACTTTTTAGAGAGACGAGAAAAGTGCCCCAGAGAGAGGAAGAGAAGGGATGAGATTAGAAAAGTGTCCTCATCCTGTTTCTCACCCTTTTATTATCCCTTTCCCAATTGCTCTCTAGGGAGTTAGCCGTATATTCGGCTATGTAATCTCGAATTAAATTACTTAAATACCCCTATTTGTTCAATAATTATAGTATTTCGTAAATTCTTTATGAAAGTAGTTGATAGGTACTTGAGTCATATGTACTCCAGATTAATCAGGTTTCTATGATTTCCCTGTAGCATGAAGTTTTATCTTTCTCTTTATCCAACCGCCCATTTTGAATGGACGGTTAAGATTGCCCCAATCACAATGTCACATCTTTATACTATTTTATTTTTATTTTTTTCTATAAACTCTTTTGACACAAAATTTCGGATGTACATTCCTTTATTAAACTCGCACTAGCGAAAAATATAAAAAAAATATTTTCAATAAAATAAAATAACCAAAATACCCTTAAAATTTTCAAAAGATATTTTGGTTATTATATTTTTATCAACAAATTATTTTTAATATTTTATATAGGTGCGTCCCAATGAAAATATGACACGTATCAAATTTCATATTCATACAATTTGTATAAAAAAAATTAAAAATAAAATACTTTGAGACATCGGATCTATGATCAAACGGTGAGTGGTTCTCTTGATAAAAATTGGACAGCTGAATGGTAGGAGAGGATAGAACTTCTATAAAGCTTGCCCTAATTAGTTTATCAAGCATCATTATTATTACGAACTTTATTTCAAAGTTTGAGAGTAGCTGCATGAACATTTTTCATCATTCTGATCAAGACAACAAATTTATGGATAAATTAATTAATTTTTTTCAAGTCCTTTGACTATTTTAAAGATATTTTCCCTATAAGCTATACATCGAATAAAATGAAAATAATAACTTATAAAAATTACACGGTCCTGCTGATGTTTTACCCACCCGAAAATTCCGCGTAAATCAAATAATAAGATTATGTTCCCTCTTAATTCCTATCAAGAATTTAGGAAAAGAAAAACCTTATGGAACCACAGGCAGAGCCCAAAAAAAAAACAAAAGCCTAATGGTTTGCCACCATAAATTTACATATCCATAGAAATGGATTCAAGAGCAACTAAAATCATCAATTCATCTCGAATTAACGCTGCAAAACAATTGAACGTAAATCGCTGAAACCTGAAAATGCTCTCAGATATCAAAGTCTGAATGCCTCTTTAATCTAAAAATAGTCTCAATAGTATAAACAACCCTTCTCAAAAAATAAGGGGATCTAATACCAGAATAATTAAATTTACATTACAAGTGTCACTCACTGTACAAAGGAATAGCAGCAAGTAGACCCCTATAAAAGAAAAGAATTTCCCACCTCAAAAAACACAAAACACTCTCTCTCTCTCTCTCTCTCTCTCTCTCTCTCTCTCTCTCT